CTGTAAGTTTTTAGGGTTTCGTCTCGATTGTTCGTTTTCCTTTACGATCTTCTGATTTCGACTCTCTTACGATCTTCCTATGTGTGTTTTTTTGCGAGTGAGAAGTTGATTTCTTCGTATTTCACTTGTTCTGCCACCGCCATTTTTGCTTTCTCAAAGGTAATCACTTCCATTCTATACCATCGAACTGCATGTTGTACTTTATAGGGTTTTGTTTCTATGGATTTCCCTTTGAAATTTCTTAAACCTATGGTTGTGAATGTGTCTCTTCGTTTTCTTTACTGAAACTCGACTCGAACAATTTTGGGTAAGCCTCAGAAACCAAACCCGTAAGGAAATTTTGTGTGTCAGCTTTTATATGATTTTACTCTGAAATGTTAGGAATAAGCAAATTTTGCACAAACAAGCTTTTGATAAACTATTGTTGTTCATGTGGGTTGCATTTGCACAGCATTTTGCTGAAGTTGAAACAAAACAGAAGAGATGGCTGAAAATCTCAAGTATACATTGAGTGAAGAGATGGAGAAAGTAGAGAGGGTGATGACTGAAAACCTGAAGATATTAATGAAGGAGATGAATAAGAAGCTTGAGGAGAAGCATGAAGAGATGGAGGAGACTCGTCGTGACTTACGAGGGTTAGAGAATGTGAATACATTCCTCTACAATAGAGAACGTGAAAGCAGCGATGAGTTATACGAAGCACGAAAAAAATTGATTGAGGTGTGTTTCGCTATATATTTCATGTTCATGACTGATTGATATATGTTTTGTGGGTTTTACTTTTTACATACAAGTCTGTTTTTTAATTGATTTTTCTGACGACAGGCATTGAGAGATTTTTCGGGTGGTGAATCTTGCAAGATCGGTGTAAAGAGTATGGGAGATCTTGATGAAAAGCCGTTTGTGAAAGCATGCAAGCAGAGATTCAGTAACGAAGAAGCCGAGGTGCAGGGCATCAGGCTTTGCTCGAAATGGAAGGAAAACCTCAAGAATCTATCATGGCGCCCATTCAAATGCGTGTGGACTGGAGACAAATCGGAGGTTTTGTTATATATGTCTCTCTTTGTGTCCCATTTTACAAGTCTTTGTTATGCCTAGGATGGTTACATGGTGGTTTATGGTGTAGGATGTGGTGGATGAAGAAGATGAAATACTTGTGAATTTGAGACAAGAGTAGGGAGAAGAGGTGGTGAACGCGGTTAAGACAGCGCACGAGGAGCTTAACGAGTTTTGTCCAAATTGTCGGTACATAGTTCCCGTAGCATGGAATTATGAACAAGGGAGGCAAGCAACTCTAGGGGAAGGGATTGCTCACATGGCTAACCAGATCAATACTCTCAAACGCAAACGCACATAGTGTTTGTGAAAGAGTTTTTGCTTCTGGAATCTATTTAAACTATCTATCGACTTCTTTTGGTTTTGCTGGTGTTTCTCGTTTTTTTTTTTTTAATCTTTTATGGTAAGAGGGTTCTCTTTTGAAGGTATGGTATATTTTGCGATTGATATAACTAATTTCCTATCGTTTTTTTCAGCTTGATGTTTGGTAAATTTTATGTTATTTTACAAATAAAATGTTTCTTTAAAAACCAAAGCGGTTGGCACCAAATGCGCGTCAAAATGGAAACAAGTTTAATTGATCTGTTATCCATAAAAACGGACCTAACCGATGTATTGGGCTACACTCAAAGAAGGGTTTGGTCACATAACTAAGCATATCAATACCCTCAACCGCAAACACACATGAGTGTTTGTAGTGAGTTTGTGCTTTTGGAATCTAATCAAACTATTTATCAACTTCTTTTGTTCTAGGTAATGTTTCTCATTTTTTGTATCTCGAATGTCTGAATCTAAACACAAGGTAGGGTTCTCTTTTGAAGTTGTGGTCTATTTTGATATTGATATAACCATTTCTTATCCTTTTTTTCAGCTTGTTGTTTGGTATTATTTTTTTTTATAAAACATAGAAGTTTCGAATCTTTTGTTCATAATCTCTTCGGTATTCAGAGACAGTTTTTGAAAATTCTTATTTAAAGAATAATTCTCCGTCCCAAAAGAGATTTGAACCCGGAGCACAAGGGAACCAACCCGGCAACCCCCTTGTTTGGTAAACTTCATAGTATTATTTTACAAACAACATTTTTTTTTTTTTAAGAAAATGTGAGACGCTTAAAAACCAAAAACGCCAACCAATTATTTGCAGTGATCAAGAAATTGAATTCAGTTTCTTCAAGGTACATTAGGTTTAGTGACTCAAAACCAGTGGAATTAGGTTTAGTTAATCGGTTTTCGTGATAACCGGAACTAGACCAGATCTTGGACTATGGTTCGATCAACTCGTTTAATAATCTCACCAAGCCGATAAATCGATAAATTTGTCTCATCTCTAACTCGTAATCTTCAGAATCTTATGTCTCCTAATACACTAACTAAACTATTAAGAGTTAATTAGAATTCTTCAATATAATAGGTTACACTAAAATCAGACATAGTATTTTAAAGAAACGGTTTAAGTATCAGAAAAAAAAAAAGATATATATTCAAAACTCTTTTCTTCTAAAAGTAGTGGCCTTCGTCCTTTTGTTTTGGTGTACCACCGAGAAGTGAGAACATTCTAGTACCAATGATTTAGATTTGGTATTTCTGTATGCAAGCTTTTTCAGTTTACAATTTCCCACATGGATTTATAACATGCGTAGCTTCTTATATACTTAGTTGCTTCTCTATTTGGTTATTGTAACGTTTTAATTGGCAAGAACAACTTTGTAGATATTTGAGACATTTATTTGGATTTCGGTCTAAAATATATCTTTAACTGTAAAATAAATTTGAATCGTTAGACAGCAAAATTTGAATGACAAAAAAGTTTCCAAAATTCAGCAATGCTAGAAAAAAGTTTAATTGGAATTTTTTTTATCCAATAATCGAAACAATAATGGCTCACAATTTGTTTGTGACACAACAATTATAGTATTTATATCACGCTTGCTTTAATTGTATGGTTCAATAGCAATACAGGGACAATTTTCAAATTCATGATGAGCTGTAAATAACACTCTCTTTCTTTGGTTAATAATAACTTTTCTTTTGTTCTGTCCGATTTAAGAAACAAATAAATTAATCTCTGTTTCTTTCTAAGTATGATACGATAACTCGTTTTCAAGTGATTTGGACCGGCCACATTATGATTCCATACATCAAAAAGTATAGAGTATACTATACATCATCCAAACTATGGGTTAAATCTGTCTAACAATATGAAACTCTAATTTGTTAGACGTACGACCTTATATATTATGAGTGATCATCTAAAGATTATTAAAAGATATTTGTGCACATATTACATATATACCTGTGCGTCCATAACTCCATATGTGACTATGTGTGGTGGTGTTAGATTGTTGGGAGTGGAGGAACAAATCAGGACCGTTCAAAAGATGGTGAAACGACTGTTTGTTCTAAAGCTCAGGGTCACATCACCCAAATAATAATTGTGCAACTTTCCTTTTTTCCTGGTTTAATTCGTTTAACCGTATTTTCGAAGTGTTCAAATTTTCAAAGATACACTCAAGGATCG